CCCCTCACCCTACCCCATCCCCTCTCTTGTTGTGAGTGCTCTTCCCTGTCGGCATCAATCGGTAGCTCCTTTGAAAACGCAGACTCTGTGCTGTGCCATGTCCGCTGATGTCAGCAGCTGCACTGATTGACAGCCGGGCCTTTTAACCTACAGCATAAAGGTGGCCGGCGGGCTGGCAGGAGCGCAAGTCCACGAGATGTGATGATACATCGAAATGCATCGAAGTGCGGGCGCGTGTGCGTGCGCTCGAGTCATGTATGTGAATGGCAAAAGGCGTGTGTGAAGTACTCTTTAGCCAAATCAAAAGAAACAAAGCATGGCTTTATCGTATATATTTTAGCTCTGCTTGCAAACCTCCTCTTGTTGCGCCAAACAGTATTTTTTATTTAGCTGGATGTGTGTGTGTGCGTGTGCCGGGTGTCTAGCCTGGGCCTTGAGCTGTAAAAAGTGGCCGGCCCTCGGGGGAGCAGTAGAGGAGGAGAACAATTTATGGTGAGCAGTAAACCCTCAATTAATCACTTGCCAGCCAGTGTGGCCCTGTGCAAAGAGAGGTAGGAATGAATTTTCATTCTCTGCTATTTGTCTCTTTGAGTTCATCGCTTATGTTTATTAGTCATCTTTTTATACCCCCCATCCTCAGGGCTTCCTCTGATGAGCACGTCGGTGTGTGTGCGTGTGTAGCTCTACAGTAGGTGATGCAACATGCCCACTCCAACACCACCTAGCTGGGGGACAGATGGTGTAATCGCACATGCACACATATACACTCACACAAAGGCTCAAAGGACAAGCGAACCGCCCCTCAGGGACATGTGAGCTGGGGCACGAGAGGGTCAGCGGAGTCTGAGGACCACCGCTGATTTCCTCTGGGAGGGCTGGCGATTATTGCACACATACACACAGAGGGGGGAACAAGTGCACGTACATACCAAAAGACACATGCATATATGCACCAAGAGGATGAAGCAGAAAAAACTATTAGAATGAGCAATGATGAGGGGAGAGCTGGAGGAAAAGATGATAAATTTGGGACAAATGGAGGCAAAGAGTGGGTGTGTACAGAAAACAAGCTGCTGTAAATAAAAAAAGAAGACACATGCAGACAATATACTGTTGACAGCGTACAATTTTTTGAAGTGCTGAGATGAATATTAGAGGCCTTCTTACCATAATGTAGCGCTGTCTGTCCTTCATTATCCTGTAAAAGGCAAAACAAGTGGTTGCTTCAGCAGAACTGTGACTAAGGAAGGATGAAGCACTCCAGCAAATTCAAATACTAAAACCAAGAATACATATTGCATACATTTGGCATGAGGGAAGCTGTAAATTACTTAGCTCAAACTCCCCAAGAGGGAAACTAGCATCTATTAGAATACCAATTAACTTCTTCTATCTGGATAAATGTTGTCATGTATTTATTGTACCAAAGGGGTATTGTGAGAAGATGAGATATTGATTCGAGGAACATGTGACCTGTAAATAAAACCTTTCAACTTGCAGCTGACATCTAGTCAAGTCTAAAACAACAAGCTACTAAAACTAAACGTGTTATCATGGAGATGCTCCAACTATATCCAACACAATGATATCATATGTCTTTAATTTACGACACAAGTGGAAATGAACAAATAATTAAGCTTGAGTGTTTATTTTCACCAAACATTCTTGTAAATCATTGCTTTGAACTTTGAGTTTAAAAATCCCTTTTCAGATTTAAGTCATTCATTTGGGGTCTATATAAAGTGGAACTGCAATGCTTTGGTCTGAATTCCTCCTTATTGTAACTCCACAAACCCCTCTTTCACCCCTTTTTCTGAAGTGTGTCTCAGATCAACTCGTTTTGAGGCTGTCTCTTTAAATTTAAACTAAGTGCTTCACCCCCTGCCCCATTCCAGCTTCCAGACTGGTCCATTCTAGCTTGAAAGATGAATTTACGACTACAGTATATAGCGGTGCAGAAATTTTTTATTTACAAATTAATTAAAAGATGTCAACAGCAGAAGACTTGTCCATCCAGCCTTACCAGTCTGACCCAGAGCCAGAGGAGAATGAAGACAACCAAATTGTAGTTGGTAAGTCCAGACCTTATTTATAGGTTCCGTCGCAAAACTGTGACGTAATAGTTTAAAAAACATAATTGAAAACAGAGAAAACTGAATGGGTTAAAACTCATGACCCAAACAGATTATAAAGATAAATATGAAGCACTAACCTGGTTAAAACCAGACCCTGTCCTTCACTTTGCTTTGTACCAGGGTCTGGACTTGATGCATAGAGAAGTGATTCTTGCAGGAGGCGGGGCCTCTGCTGAAGTTTAAAATGATTGTATCAGTTGGCTGCAATGTATGTCGCTGTGACAGAGGCTAAGTTAAGAAGCTAACCGGAAATCGCGTGCTCTGTAAACAACCCCACTGAGAGGAGAGAAGTACCGAGCCGAATGAGACGACTGTAAATGAGAGCTGCTGCTTTGTCAGACAAATTTAATTAAATTTGGAAGCCTTTTCAACACAGACTGGCTTCATTCACTTCTTCCACTGCCGTATGCTAAAATAACTAGCAGACACTGTGCATAAAATTGACGTCGTTCAAAACTCCTCCTTCTGTTTGCTGATTGGCCCAGGTAAAATAAACTACAAGCAGACACTGCGCAGAAAATCAAAGTTTTGTTCTCTGATTGGCCCGGCTAAAAATCTGCCAGCAAAATCCTTGTCTGTGGGAGAAGTCCCAGACGGAGAAGAGAAGGGAAACTAGAATTGAGCGGAGCTGTGTAGGAAGGAAAGGGCCAGGCTAATGCAGCACAGAGAGAGAGAGAGTAAATTCAAATCTTCTACATTCCTAGAGAAATGGAATTTAAAAAAAATTAAAAGGAGGCTCCAAGAGATCCTGACATTGAACTTTACAAACAAAGAGTCAGACTTATGTCACAGGGTAACCAGAAAATCTGAAGTAGTCTCTTCTGTGCAGGAGCATGTGTGCATGAGGCTTTGTGTCCTAAGAACAGAACAAATGATACTTGGGGTCAAAGGCTCAACAGTAGAGGTATAACTCTTGTAAGAAGTGCTGGACTGGGGACAGGCATGAGGAAATATATGTGTGTGCAGGTATAATAAGACAGAATATATGACAGGCATCATCAACAGCAGATTCACTTCTTAATCACCACTCCAGGCTGCCTTTGCGCCTCATAACAATGACAAATGGGTCAAACTGTTGTCTCTGGTCTGGGAACAGGAGCACCTGCTGAGCAGAGTACAAAAGATTTAAAATGCTCAGGGACAAATTAAAAACCTGGAGGTGCTCAGACTTTTTTTCTTGGAAAATGTCAGTGCAGTAGAAATACCACAAATCCCTAAAACTGCTGTGGTGAAATTATTCATTAGTCTTTCAGCCTTTGCCCTTTTAACACCTTTGTGTACATTTCAGTTGTGCTACTTCTTCCGAACCCTTCCTTGACTTTATTGCACCTGTTTTTTTGTGCTTTTTGACTATTGGTCCACCTACTTTCTCTTTCACTCTTTGCCTTTAAAGTCTCAGGCCCTTGCCTCTTCAATCCCTCATTTCCTTTCCTCCTCTTTTTTTTCTCCCCCTTCGCCTGGACCCAGTGCAGAGTGATCCTATTGTTGTGTTTCTCCTCGTCTCTCAGGGGCAGCACTTCAGGGACCTGCTGATTGGATTAGAGCTTTCTATTCCCTCTGGGTGGATCACAGAGCACAGATGCAAATCGCCACCAGCGTGGAAAGCAGTGCAGTGGTTCACAGGAGACAACAATACTGTGCGTCTGTGGGTCAAATCACAACTTGTGACGTCCTGGAGATAAGTTGTCAGCTTCTAACTGTTTATAAATGGCCATAGATTCCAGAAAACTGACAAATTTAGATACATATTAAAAGACTGGATAGGCTGTTATAAATATAATGTGTGGAGAGAAGGCGCTGCTTGTATACGCTTTCCAGGCTTGTTCTTGTGGGGGTCAAGGCCTGTCCTCTCAAGGTACCCTAATGCCCCTGGATGCAGGACGGAAGCTTGATGGAATCACAGGAAATTGAATTGTCTTCCATTTGCTTTGGAGGCAGCCTGGAGGAGACATCCCCTCTCCGTCCACCCCTCTATACCTGCAGCTAATACCACCTCCTCCTACTACCCTGTCTCCAGTGCACTCTTGTTCCCATCCCATTACGGAGGCATGTTATACCAAACCCCTGCTTTTACGTGTCACCCAAACCTTCCCCTTGCAGTGCAGAACATGCTGGGCTGAATGTCAGCAGAGAGCCCAATAAAGCAGCTGCTCACACAATCCCAGCAGGAAATCTGTCTAAGTGTGGTACTGTATCACTAATAGGGTGGAGCAATCTGTGCAGAAGCAGGGCGGCACGGGGGCCGATCTATCAGAACAGTCGCAGCCTTTTTTATTACGTCAAGTCACAAATCTGTCGTTTCTACTGCAAAAAAATGTGAAGCAAAAGAGGGAGTTACTGATGTGCAGCTCTGTTTCTACAGATCAAAGGGGTAACTACATGTAATTAGTGCAAAGTTGGTCCAAAATAAATGTATAAATATTTAAAACCAGACAGAACAAAGTCATAAAGCAAAAAAAATAAAGGCAGATACACTGATGTGAAAATCTCAGAACATGTTTCTATTGTAAAAATGTAAACATAGTTATGCTTCCATTTTTAAGTATGTGTGCAGAGGTGGACAATAAAATAAGGTGCAAAGAATGCAGTTTTGAAAGCCGTGCACATTAAAAGACGTGATTTTTAAAAACTGTGCAAAACGCAGCCTCGTGGCTCAATGACAACTTATCACAAATACTCAGAATTCCACTAGACTGCAATGAAAATTTTGCATATTGTTTCTCATTTTTCCCATGATTTGGAGTAGACAACATTAGCAGCCTAATGAGATGCCAAACTAAATGTGTCTTGAAGAATTTCCTTTGAAATATTTTTGAAAGTCAAACAAAAGAAAACAAAAGAGAAAAATTATTTAAGTGTTCCGTGTTTGTTCTGCACCTTCTATATACAAAAGGTGCTTTCCCCAATATTAAAACTGTATTTCAAGAAAGCTAAACTAGTACTTACATGATTACATTTGAATATTTAAATTCTACTAAAAATGTGCAGATGCCTTTCTATTTAATGAATAAATTGCTACTTCAATCATTTTAAGAAATTCAGATACATATTTTTAGCAAACTAAAGAGGTTTCACGTTTTTTGTTGTTGTGAGTAGAAGAAAAATTACATTGCGATAAGTTATTTTCCTCTGTGTTTTTTCTGTAGAGTATGTTTTATGTATGTTACTTTGTCATTTGTGTCATATTTTAGCTTTTATCATTAATCTTTGGCATCTTGAGCTTTGTTGCTGTTTCTTGACCAGGTTGTTATTGTAAATAAGAATTGGTTCTCAACTAACTTACCTGGTAAAATAAAGGTTTTTATACATATAATTAGTAGAGATGTTCCAATCAGATACTCAGTATTGGTACCAGTGGCAGATATGGCCATTTTTTGAAAATCGTGTAGAATCCGTTTTAGTCATGTGATCGGGCCGATCCAGTTTTCGTGACAGTTTTCAGCATCATCATGCTTTATAGCTGCCGTTAAGAAGTCAAGATGCACACAAGTATGCAACCATGTCCACAGTGTAGGAACACTTTTCAATGGAAAACAATGATGCTGAAACTGCATCTTGCAAAATCTGCAAACTGGATGTTTCTCGTGGTGAGAACAGCAGGGCTCGCTTTAATACCTTTAGTCAACCTTGTCACTTGGAAAGAAATAAAGAAATAAAGCTATCGGATCAGTATCGGAAAAACTAATCATTAAAAAAAATCGGATTGTATCGGGAGCCAAAAAAATCTGGATCGGGACATCCCTAATAACTAGGTTTGTGAACAAACTAAATGAAATCTCTGTATATCCTTATTTTAATCAGATTTGTTAACTGTAGTGGTAATACTAAAGCAACAGCAGAAATGCAGTTCTTCAAAAGTCCACTAAAAACACTCCCTATAATTTCCTCTAAAGCTCTTTTCTCAGTTCATTTTTCTGCGTCTCAGTAAACTTTTTCAGCTTTTCTTCCTCTCTTCCCTTCCCGCCTCCTCCTTTTTTCCTCCTGCTGTCCCTGACAGCAACATTAAACAAGTGGGGAAAAATGAACAAGCAATTATGATTGATGATCAATGCATGCAGCAGCT